TTGGATGTGTCCGAATAATAAAACCTAAGAGATGCTTGTACAAGTTGTAAAAATTTAATATGCCAAATAATTTTTAAAACGAAATATATAACATGATTACAATCACAATGAACAAAATCCCATCAGAATTCCATGGTCTCTGCTGCAGAGTACAGTTGCATATATGTAATGATAAAGACCCTTATGCATGTGGATGTATACCCCTATATGTATGTATTTATGCGTGTGTCCATGTGTGTGGATGTATACCCCTATATGTATGTATTTATGCGTGTCCATGTATGTGAATGTATACCCATATATATGTGCATTTATGCGTGTGTCCATGTGTGTGGATGTATACCCATATATGTATGCATTTCCTCCAAAAAGTGGGGCGCAGAGCCAGGTAAGTACACAAGAAACCCAGTTAAACCTTGACAGTGTGGGAAACTGTGCACCAGAAAAGCTGCAATATGTGCACTATTAACTGCAACAAGTCTTAGTTAAAATCTTAGCTTGCAATCTCTCATAGTGATCATTTTCATATTCTCCTTGCCTAAGGCTCTTGAAACGTGCACTTTTGATACATCTTTCATAAGCAAGACAATGCCAGATGCCAGATGACTTTCATTAGCGATTGTGACTGTGAGAATCGAAGATAAATCCAGTAAAAACGCAACTGCTCCTGAAATGTGTTCATGCACCCCACATTCATAAATCATAAACAATACAATTTTTGATTGTCGTCCTTTAATTTTACAACAGAACACCTTTCTCAAAGCATAATGACACATGAAGAACATTCAAGGGTGTGAGTTCATATTAACTGTTGAATGGAAGAATATTTTTATGGTCATTGTTTAATCTACTGGTCACCAGCAACAGGACTTGGGCACATGGGCACGCGGCGACCAGCAGAGAGAGTCTGAGTGAAGTTTGTAGAGAATTCGGAGTCCATGTGTTGGTGTCATTTTAGTTTTTAAGCGACGTTTCTTTTAAACGTCCCAAGTGCCACTTATTCACAGTTGATATACTGTCCCTAGCTGTTTGATGGATGTTTTTTTTATTCTCTTATGAACTCCTACCACATCCATGGAGCTGCTATCTAAGGAAGTTACAGTATACCAGAGGCATGCTGTTGCAGCTGAACTGGGCGGGGCTTGGGCGCAGGATAGATATAACACAACTACCAAATCTTACTCTGAAAGATGGACTGGGGGTACAAGGAGAGTTAAAAAGAGGAAGTAGGGTAAACGGGGTGGCGTCAGACAATCCCTGCTGTTCATAAAAAGAAGCTCAATCAGATTCCTTTTCCCTCGATGATGTTGGACTATGTCCAGTGACCGAAGAACAAAGTGGACAAGCTCCAGGGAAACGTTTGGATTCTTGAAACGGTTGTATTCTTAACTTTTTAACCAACAGAGACACAAAGAGTTCTGTAAATGTAGGTCTATCTGACCAGGTTTGCACTTCACAAGGATGTGTGCTTCCACCTCTATTACACATCCTTTAGACAAATGTGTGTCAGAGTAGGTGGGAAAGAAGGACCATCAATTAAGTTTGCCGATGACTCCATCACGCATCATGTTAGCTTGCTTCTGAACAACAAGACTGGCCATGGTCCGATCATTGATATATTCAGCTGAATATATTAAAGATCAAAGACATGCTCATTGATTTTAGGAAAAAATGCCCATGTACAGGAAATCACATCTATTAGAGGCCAGACAGTTAAATGTGTGCAATTTTAGATACCCGGGAACAATTATTGACCAAAACCTCACCTTTGAAGGCAAATATGTAGCAATGTGCAGAAAGGGGCATCAGCACCTGTTCTGTGTGAGGAAACTGAGTCGGTTCCACATTGATAAATCCATAATGATCTTATTTCACTATGCTTTTATTGAATCAATTTTATTATTTCTCTTGGTGTCATGGATTGGAAACCTTTCCCAAAAGGGAAAAAAAAATTCACTTAATCAAACACTCAAGTGGTCCAGTAGGCTGACTGGTGAGACACATTAATCTGGAGACCCTGTAGGTTTACAGTCCCAAGGTGCAGAACACAACAATACAAAAACAGTTTGGCTCCAGCAGCCATCACACAAATGAAGAATAAGTTTCAGTCATAGTAAAACAGTATTTCATTTTACTGTATTTAAACTGTTATATTTTTTATAATTATTGTCTCAAGTTGCCTGTGCCGTAAGATGAATGTGTGATACGTGTCTGTCTGTAATGTGTGTCTATGGATGAAGACTGTTCACTGCAGACCTAATCTACCTACTGGTGCAAATAAAGTAACCTGACCTGAAGCTGATCAATGTCTAAATATGATCGTAAATGTACAATTTCAGTCATAACATGATGAAGAGATAATGCTGAGGTGGGGCAAAAGAGCAGAACTTATTTCCACCCAAAAATGTCGCAAGGGGGTGGGATGTGTACCCCGGTATATTAGCATGACACAGGCTTGAGAAGAGGATCTGAGCTGTCAGCCAAACCCAGCAAGGTAGGTCTGCCACACAAGCCTAATGAAAGGATGACCATTAAACCCACTATAACCTGCATCCTGTTTACTATGGCCCTTCAGTAAATCAGACGAGGGAAATCAGTAGGATTGTTAGGGGAAGGAAACAATGAAAAGGCCCCGCATGGCAGATAACGTGAGCGCTGTGGAGACATAAAGAGGCACCGTAATAAGCAGCCGTGCTCATGAGCTGCAGGTGGGATTGTAGTAAATTTCCATTACTGAGCTGCTGGGGTCAGACTGCTGTAGAGGTGAGCGGGACTTAAGCTGGAAAAGACATCTGCTTTATTATGCCCTTCAGAGGAAGCATTTTCTTTATTTAGCAGATGCTTTAGCTAAAGTAACATGAGGCAAATAACACATTACAGACATGACTAACATACGGCTGTCGAGAGGACGACTAGGCGTAAGGGCGGATAGGCGGAGCTTCCAGTGAATGCCCAGGTACGAGTGTAAGCAGTATCTGCCAGACTTAGCTTTAGTTGATGTGAAATGATATTTGTGTGATCGGAAGATAGAGTTTCTTTTAACAACACAACATTATTAAAACAGAATTAATTTTAAGACCTTGCCTTTGGCAACACACTCACTAGCCAACATGCCTGGTAGTCATGCTTATGCATGTCATTCAGCATTCACTAATTAGTGAATTCACTAATTCACTATTATCCCGTATCTGTCTACTCACTCTTACTGTACTACTGCTGCTTATGTTCTTTTGCACCCTAATGTTTTGTTGTATTTCTATTTTATATTACCTGTAAATTATATTACCCAGAATTTTTACTTTTACAGTGCTGATATTTAACATTTTTATACTTCTTTCACTTGTCCTATATGTGTAATGTATGTTTATATGTGTAATTTTAAATATAATTCACCATTTGAGGCTGACGCAGTTGCAATCTCTTGTGCCTGCACAAGGACAACAAAGTTCTTGAATCCGAATCTGAAGTCATTACAAAAACCAGGAGGGAGATATTGTACTGTGGGAGGGAGATGTTGTACTGTGGGAGGGAGATGTTGTACTGTGGGAGGGAGATGTTGTACTGTGGGAGGGAGATGTTAAACGCCGCTTTGTCTGTTTCCTGGGCTGTGTCGGAGTGGAGTTTTCTGGATTGGTTCTACTCCACCAGGGTCTACTGTCTGAGAGGAGTCAGTTGCCTAGCAACACATTAACTGCCACCTTGTCCACCATCACTTTCATGAGTGGCCAGCTGCAATGCATATCTGCTGTATGTGGTGGTAATGATATATCTCCAGGGGTTATTGATCTGATCTTCCTGGTGCAGACTGCTGGCATTCATATGCCTTACATGTGACACCAGACACTGAAACGCAGACATCTTTCTGAGAGATGAAGAGAAGTAAAATCCACTCTACTTTTAGTTTGCACCTTCTGTAGAGTGAAAAATGTCTTAGCCCTGGTAACGCTAACCAAAAAATACTGAACAACTAAGAGGCACCACAGCCATTCAAACAAAATAAACCATAAAGCCGAAGAATACTTTGCCTTTTCACTATAAGTGAAAGTGACATTATTCTGCTCACGAAGTCCTCTGTTGACCAAGAGCGGAAAAAAACTCTCTAAGGAATGATCAGCCCTGGTTTTCAGTGCTGCACGATTATATGAGTTTTGCCATTAATTGCTTTATTATACTAATCGTTTAAATAATAAGTCATATCACCTGGGGTTTCAGCTGTTAGTGAACTACTAAGTGATCATCACTGATGAGGCACATAAGCATTTCCTAGAGAATTTTGGGACATTTACATGGAAAATACATCAACAAAGAGAGGGAATATTTCCAAATATGGGCAGTTGCCATGTCATGAACAAGATCCATTCTTTTTGTCGAATTTGTAGGTAAGTCGGAACAATAATAACGCAGAACATCATAATAGCAATTATATAGTAATAAAAGTAAGTACATAGAGTACTGTACTGTACCTCGAGCCAAAGAACCACTGAAGCCACGCAATGTTTTCACAAGTGTCACAAAGTAGTGCGTGCATTTAGCTCTAATTTTACAATAGGCTTTACGGCAGTCCGTTCGTAACCACGAATTGTCCTTAAGTCAAATGTTCTTGACCCAGACGAACTGCCTGCAAGCAACGGTTTTGCTGCATGCTTAAGATAAAAAGAAATTGCATCAGTTATGTTATTTTGCAAAGCAGAGCGACTTGGTGATATTCGCCCATTCGGGCCCCATTACACCTAGAGGCTGTAAATAACCCTCCATTACAGTTCTTAAGTTGTTCTTGCATGGGAACACTGGTAGGTAGCTGTGGTATTAGCCAGCTTGTGGAGCTGCTTTAGATGCTGAGCTCCAGGAAAATATAGACAGTTGCTGAGCATATCTGTGTATCTGATTAGTTAAGAAGACAAATGATAGTAATCAAATCCATGATAAAAAAAAAATAATAATGGCTGTGACTGGGTGCATGAATCAGTCACAATAGGTCACAGCAGTTAAAGGAGACTTACCTGTCAATAATGACTGGGTCAGATGGTGTCTCATTCCGATTCCCACAGCTCTTTTTGTCACAACATCGACTGAAAGAAAAGATAAATGTTACTTTGAAAATGGCCATTCACAGGGCATGAGGTATAGCTATTCTTGTGAAGTTGAACTTGTTAGTTTTGTCATTATAAAAGTAAGCAGCAATTTCCAAAATGTATAAATAAGCAGTTACTAGAAAGGATGCTGTCACCTGCTCTGCCCATCTAACCCGCACTCCTCACACACTCACAAACCTGTACAATTTCTGGAAGTATTGGATGGGTCACCTGGAAATGTGAAAGACAATAAATGTGTTTTTACCTGCATGAGTCATAGCTGTGACACTAAACTCTGAAACTACGCCCATTCTTTTAATGCACATTCCACTTACATGGCTTTGACTTTAGGAGAGTTTTTGAAATGGTTAAGCTGACACATTTTAGCAGACATACCAACAAAGTTTTACACCAACATGAAAATCATTTAAATATCATTTTCTATGGCTGCCTAAGAGTTTTGTGCAGTACTGTATATATACACCTCTGGGTCCGTATCACCTGTGTGAATGTCCCCCCCCCAATATATTTCATATTGTAGCCAAATGGTTTGTGCCGCATATGTGCTGGTTTGTGAATTAGAAATTTTGGTTTGTGCTGCTTTAGTTTCAGAGATACGTTTCCTTACATGGTGATGTCACCACCGTGAAGTTGGTCCCCTATTTGTGTGCAGTTTGTACCAAACCGGTCTTTTGTGCTGCATTTGTTCCTGTTTGTGTTGTTGGACTTCTCCTGTGTGTTGCTTTCATTTTTGAAATATAATTAATGCTTATGTACATGATAATGTGACACCCCCCTGAAGTTGCCCCCCATTAGCTTCCGATTTCTATATACCAAACCAGTGTCGATCCTTTGTGTCACGTTTGTGCCGTCTAAAATGTTTCATGCTGCTATTCTTATCATTTTGCTCAGGTGCCCAAGTCTATATAATAATGCATAATATGTCTCCCATTCCAAATTTAATGTCCAGGACTTTTTTAATAGGCAATTTAGTTGCAATGTACATATTTAATACAATTTCCATATTTCCACATCCGATACTTTTTTATGAATTTACCTTTTGTTTTAATTAGTAGGCTGCCCAGTTAGTTACATTACTATTTTCCTACATTCCATCGCAACACAAACACACAACAAAAGCAGTCATAGCAGGAAAGCACACCTATAGTTTCCTGTGCTGGATATATTATGAGGACCCCTGTACCCTCCACTGACGACATCTTACTCAAGCACTGTATCCGCAAGGCCCCCAGCATTGTGGAAGACCCCACTCATCCTTCACGCTCTCTCATTTCCCCCTCGTACCTAGCAGAAGGTAGAGGACTATCCAGGCAACCTCTGTCATGTTCTACAGCAGCTTCTTCCCCAAAACTTTTAGAACTCTTTACTGGCCCCTTTATAAACCTGGCTAACCACCAGTACTAGCCACTGTATCCAGTGCACATTGCTCTCACTGCATCTTTTCCTACATCTTTGTCACATCTGTCATATTGCTACATCTGTTGTACTCATGTATTTGTTCCCTTTTGTTAATCAAGATTTTTACATTCTCAAGCATATCTGTTACACTCTCTTGGGTACCCATATCTGTTACACTCTGTGGGTACCCCTACCTCCCGCATGAGTTAATGTATGTATATTCTATTGTCAATATGTGTTATAATTCTCCTTATTTTCCTCTCCTTCATGTGTTGCCTTGTCTTTGTTCAATCTCTTCACTTTATGTATATATCCTGCACCGCAGTCCAGGAGAATGTTATTTTGTGCCACTGTATGCTGTGTGGATTTTATACAGATGGTACAATAAAGACCCATTTACGACTTGACCAGTTATCACTGTCATTATGACCCTTAAATGCCAGCTCCTGTCGACCCAGGAATTAAATCACATAAATCAGCCTTTTCAGAATGATTATTCCTCATCATGTCATTGTGTTTGGCTAACTGGGGACACACGCCTTCGTCAATCAGACTATCAATCCTCACAAGTGTTGCCACTTATGATCTTAAAATACATAGGAGGCCACCCCCCTCCCCTGAAAATACAAGACAATTAATCTTCACAATTCCCAAAACAACTGCACTGACATCTTGCTTTTGGTGGCTGAACCAACAAGTAATAGTGATTCTGCTTAGTGTGAAATTCACAATTGTGAATTTTGTGATAAAAACATTTAATTTGGTACAATCCAATAAAAACGTGAATATTGAAGCATCATGAATTTACAATATATTTCCGATGGCAGCCATTTTTCAAAATGCCCACCAATGATAATGGACTTCAGGGAAATTTTCTAATCAGCCTTGGATATAATATATTGAGAACATAATGTATAAATGTATTTCCATGTGATGTGTACATTCAAGTAACTGAAAATTCAAGATGGCCACCATGACTGGTATGACAAATTAAATTGCAATAAAGTTACACAGACTAGTCTGATATGTATGATCTCATGTCAACCAAGTCATACCGATACTGCTACAAATGAAATTTGAGATGGGGACAGGAAAAAATATACATATATTTTAGATTATTCTGAATATCGTCTTGCACCCCACAGTTTGAGCATATCACTGACATGTACAATGTTCATGGGAAGTTTGCAAAAACATCTAAGGAACAAGTTTAGAATACAGGTGACTGCATTCACAACATGGTGGCTGCAGGTTCCATTTTCACCCTTGGTTGCCCTCTGTCCTTGCAGTTTCAATTTTGGGGGCTCAAGTCTTAGGTCAGGTACAGATTTTCATCCAACTAATGTTTTTGTGAAGTGGAAATAAGATCCATAAAAGATCAAATAGAGTAAATAGAGTAATAATAGCAAATAGAGTTATCTTGTTCACAGGGTTAAGCTTCTTATCTGTTATGCTTCCCTTTTTTGTCTTTAAGTGCCATTGCTTCAGTTTTAAAAGGTCCAGATCTTCACCAATACAATGTATCTGCGAAGATTGAAAAAGCTCATACTAATTTTTTTTGAGTTATTATGTCTTAGGCTGCCCTTCTATTTGCTATCACTGTGCGGCACTGCTTCAGATGTGTGCAGTTTTTCTCAAAATCTGGTCCTGATCTTCAGTCTTATTTCTGCAAATTTTGAAAGAGATCCATCAAATACTTTTAAGGTTACTGTTATCACAAGACCAAGTGTCTTCCACAGCTGACCTTCCCTTTCTCTGCTGCTACATTGAGCTGCTGCTTCATTGTTGGGGCTTCATTTGTCTCAGACTGAAATGAACCGTATATCGTCATCCATATAATCTGTCATTTGCTTCCCTTTGCTGCCACTAAGCAGTGCTGTTTCAATTTTGGAGCAACCTGTCTCAAAATTTAATTGTCATTCATCATACAGACAATGTGTCTTCAAAGATGGACAATGATCCCTCAAATTCTTGATTTATTGCACTAACAGGATCATGTGTCAAAATTGTAATTTTCTTTGCTGTCACTATATGGCGTTACGTCACATTTATTGCTACTATCAAAATCGAATTAGTTTAACCAAAGACAAGATGATAAGACTAATGAATTTAGACTGAGTTCTAATTCATTTAAAATGTTGCAAGGCACAGTATTCCTTATTACCTTACTGCATGACATTAATAGATAATCTTCACATGATGTTAGCATTTGACGTACTTCTTTCATGCAGATACTCCAACACGCATGAATATCTAATTAAAACCATTTAAAATATTTCCGTGATACACACATAGAAATAAACTTGGGGCATATTTTTTTACAATTTTTGTGTATGTGACCCTTGCCATAGTTATCACGGCTGTTTAATGTCTTTGCCTGGCAACAAGGGTGATTAGTGTAGGTTCCAAGGGGCCAATTAGCACCGGGAGCTCAGCGGCACACCTGTGGCAACCGGCTGCTCAAGCTGAAAGAAAAAGGCGTTATAAACAAACAGCTGCACCTCTCGGGCCTCCAGGGACTCAAAGCCCTCAAACACAAAAACAACCCTCAGCCAACTAGCTATGATGCCCACTTAAAGGGAATCCCACAGGCCCGCAGCAGACTACCGCCCTACCCAGCCCTCTCACTTTCCAAGAGTGGCAGAAATGGATCCACACCTGACAGCCGACCCTAGGCTGAATTTAAGAAGTCTCTCTGTCAGTTTGTTTGGGTAAGAAGCCAGCTAGGATCGAATTGTGTAGGGCTGTGCTTGAGCTGAACCCGGATTATCTGGGTGGGTGACAGGCAGTACTAAACAAGACAGAATTCTTCCCATGTTAAAATCATTAGTGCTGGCGAGACCTTCCGATGCAGTGTTCTGACCCAAGGGTGTAAGTATGGTGTAGACATTCAGGGGGTCCGAATGAGACCCCTCCCTGAGATTTTTTTAAAGTGCATTTCCCACAATTCTACTATGGACGTGCCGTCAGGGGGGGGGGGGGTAGAGCCACACCGGTCATGGTCCAACAAAAAGAGCTTTTATGAAAAATACAAAAAATATGTTAAGTTATAAATAAATGTTATATATGTCATTTTTGTATGATTATAATCATTTTTATAGCCAAAAGTGCCAAATTTGCAGAGCTCAGCTGCAAATACAGGGAGAGAAGAGAGGCACAGCAGAGTCAAGCTCAGCAACTGTCTAATAACTTTCTGGCGGGCAGGCAGTAAGCATGTGCCTGTTACTATCTCTGCGCATATCGTCTAACATAATGTCTGTAGACCTCGTCATTACATTGTCGTTTTTGAACACAGGACACTGTCTAATGAGGTCAGAAAATACAGCAAATAGTTCATGAAGCTGCATTTGGTCATCAGTACCGTCACTTCATTCACGCAGGTAACTATGCCTACTTACAATACAATACAATACAATACAATGATGTTTTAAAAACAAATTTCTAGGGGGAAAAAATGCAGATATCAGCATAGGAATAACTAATTGTTCGAATTAGACACTACAGATGGAAAGACAGTTTAGAAAAGAAAAGTGGTGTGGAAAATTGGCTGTTTTTTGCCATTGAAATTAAGAATAAAGTCAGGAGGAAAAGGGCTCTGTTCCACAATTGGAAAATAACTAATGATTTCAGAATTAAGCAGGAGTATCTAAGTCTACAGGTAGAGTTAAAAAATAGAAGCTGAAATCACTAATTTGCAGGACAGTAAGGGCCTTATAATTGAAAATGAAATTGATATAGTAAATGAGTTTAATGACTATTTTTCATGGGTGTTCACAGTAGAGAACACAAGTAACTTACCACCAATTAGTACGAATACAGCGTCGTCTATGACCAATATATGTATAACTGAGGCTGATGTGGTACTAAGCCTGGCTAAACTCAAAATAAATAAAATAAATCGCAGGGCCCTGATGGCATCTTACCTATAGTTTTAAAAGAGATGAGGGATATTATTAGCCAACCTTTAAATTTAATATTCCAGAAATCGTTATCTGCGGGTATGGTACCTTCAGATTGGAAGCATGCTAATATAACACCCATATTCAAAAAGGGGGATAGACGTAATCCAGCAAACTATAGGCCAATCAGTTTAACTAGCATT